ATTCTAGAATTGGAGGGACTCAGTCATCACCTACTCTAGCCTCTTCCTTTTACACAAACCACTTTCTTTAGCCAGCCTGCCTGTTTCTTTCTTTCTTTCCTTCCTCCCTCCCTCCCTCCCTCCCTCCCTCCCTCCCTTCCTTCCTTCCTTCCTTCCTTCCAGCTAATAAGGGGTGTTGCCAACAATTTGGTGCTGTAGCTAGAGATACAACAGTGAGTAGAGCAGCACTCCTGTCTTCATTGAGCTCACAGCCTACTTGTGGACATAAATAAGGAAGGAATTTTAATAGTGTATGAAAAATGCAGATTAGGCGACTTAACCTTGTTTGAGGGGTTGGAGGAGGAGTCCTAAAGGAGGCAAGAGTGTGCTGATATCTAAAGGTTTGAGTAGAACTTGAATAGGTGAAACATTGGAGTGCAAAGAGGGCTTCAAGAAGAGGAGGTAGATAGGCAAAGATGGGTGAGATGTAAGGATATCCTGGCACTGGGGAACAGCATTAGTGATTTGACAGTACCAGGGCTTGGCTGAGGGATGGTAGAAGATCACATGGGTCATCCCTTGGAGGGCCTCATGTGTTAGAGAGTTTGGGCTTTATTTGTGGGGCAATGAGGAGCCTTTGAAGGGTTCTAAGGAAGGAAGCCATACAGTTAGATCTGCATGTTGGGAAGGTCACCTTTGGCTGCAGCATGGAGACCAGATAGAAGGAGGAGAAAATGTGGAGTCAAGGAGGCTGTGGCTGTTAGTCAGTGGTCCCTTTTGTGCTGAGGACTACGCTTGTGTGAAATTCACAACAAAGCTCCCCTGCTGAACATTGACCCATCTCAGGCTTGGCAAGCCCAGAGTTAAGGACCACATTAATTCTTGGTCAGAGCTTCAGAAGTTAGCAAAGGCATTAGGATTAGTGTTGTCAGATGACCTCCAGGGTCTGAGCTCTCCTCTTTTACTTCCTCTCCAGGGTTCTGCCACAGAAGGCAGAGCTATTGCTCCAGGAGTACTGGCTCCTTCTGAATCTGCCCAGCCATGACCAGAAGGCAGCTCAGGTCAAAGGCAAGGACAGGGGTCCTCTCTAGCTCCATTGTGCTCAGGCCCATCTCATACTTTGTTGTCTGTGTTGCTAAGGTGGAGTCTATTTCTGCAATATGAAATTTCTTAAAAGAAAGAAAACAAAACAACCCTTCCCTTTCTACCCCAAAAACTTCCTATCCTAATCCTTGGTCACGATTTGCTTATTTTTCAAATCCTGCTATTTGAACCTTGCACAGCCTTGCCCTTTGAAGAAAAGGTTCTCAACATATTTCATAAAAATGTCATAACAATTTGTGAACATGAGAAAACTGTTCAGTACTTTTTTAAAAAGATACAGAATTTTATATTCTCCCCAGTCTTTTAAATTTAAATTTTAAGAATTCAGTCATCTTTGGAGTATTAAAGGATTTTTTTTTTCCTGCAAAGAGTCCTTTTAAAAAGCAAAAACTTATTGTTTAAAACTCAAAGAACCATTCTGATATTTTGTATTTGGTTTTAAAATATCTTTTTATTCTGTTTGCACTCAATGAAAACGTATTGGCAAATGCAGAAAAAACATGAAGAGGAGAAGTAAAACTATTAGTCACCTCATTGCCAAATAAAACATTTTGGTGGATTCTCTCTCTCTCTCTCTCTCCCTCTCCATATATATATATATATATATATATATATATATATATATATATAGTTGTTGTATGCAATAACTTTTTCTTTTTATAAAATCAGTGCCATACTATTTTACATTCTGCTTTTTAAAGATTCTACCATTTTTATTTAGTTAGCAATGTTATGCAAACAGGACTTCAAATACTTGCATAATAGGCCATGGTTTAAATATACCAACATCTCACTATTGGATATATACCCAGAGGAATATAAAACATTCTACCATAAATACAGTACGTGAATGTTTGTTGCAGCACTGTTCGCAATAGCAAAACCTTGGAACCAACCTAAATGCCCATCAGTGACAGACTGGATAAAGAAAATGTGGTACATATAGACCATGGAACATTACGTAGCCATTAAAAAAGAATGAGATCATGTCTTTTACTGGTAACATGGATGGAGCTGGAGGCTATTATCCTTATCAAGCCAATGCAGGAACAGAAAACCAAATACCACATGTTCTCACTCATAAGTGAGCTAAATGATAAGAACTTATGAACACAAAGAAGGAAACAACAGATATGGGGTCCACTTGAGTGGGGAGGGTGGGAGGAGGGGGAGGAGCAGAGAAGATAACTATTGAGTACTGGGCTTAATGCCTAGGCAATGTAATGTTATGTACAATCAACCCCTGTGCCACGTGTTTATGTAAGAAACCTTCACATGTACTCCCAAACCTAAAATAAAAATAAAATAAATATTTAGATCCCATTAAAAAAATAAATATACCAACAATCTGTATTGGTAACTTGGTACAATTTAGTGTTAAGTAGGCATTTGTGTTATTTATTAAATAATTATTTACTAATGTGTATAATGTTTATATATATAAATAAAAATTAAAAGTGGCTCATAATTTTACCAGTTGGATAACCCTGATTGACATTTAAAAATAATAAAACCCACATGGTTAGAAAATTCAAGCAAAAATCTATACAAATGTACAAAGATGAAAACCAGAAGCTCCCTCTTCCTTCTACCCCCTAGACCTTACCCAACAAAGGTTAAAATTTCTTGTGATTTTTTCCCAGATGTATTTATCTATTTATAGATGTTTCAAAATTTATGCAAGAGACTATATGCTGCACACTGTTCTGCACCTTATTTTTTTCTGTTAAGAGTCATTCTTGGTGATCTTTGTGCAGCATTTCTTATAGCGGTGCATCCCTAGCTCAATAAACATATCTTTAATTCCAGCCCTGTTAGTCAGTCATGCCTGCAGTATCATTGGCTCTTCTGCTTGGTTCTTAGATGTGAGGTAAATAGATACAGCACCCGTGTGTACTCAGTCTCCACCATCCCTGTTTCTCCAGCTCTTAAGCCCTACCTGCATGCCAGTAGGACCCTGACCCTCAATCTGCACCATCAGTATTTCTCCAGCTCTTTACAGCTACCTGCATGCCAGTGGAATCCGGACCCTCAGACTTCCTAGTCTTTCTGGTTATATGAGGAGGCCCCAGAGATTGTGACATAAGTGCACAGCAACTTTTCCTTTGGCCCCTATTTCCAGTGCCTAAAGTCCTTTGAAATTGCCACCTGTTACTACCCCAAGGCTGATATCCTTCTCTTATGCCCAGGGCACTGTCTCCCAGGGTAGGCCAGTGAGTGTAACCAGTTTGCTCACAACCACCATGGATCTGCGTACACATGTGTATACAAATACATGCATGGGTGTATTCAAAGTAATAATATGCAGTTTTTCCAAAGATCAGCCCTTTCAGCAGCTGGCTTCTTCCACATAACAAGTATCATTCTGACATATAACCATCCATACTCTTACTCATGTGTATTTTTGTGTGAACATTTGTCTGGAAGGGAGGAAGCCTTTGTTTTGTCTGGAGATGATTATACCTTCTGAATTGCTGTTTTCCATGGAGTGGCAATGAATCTTCACAGTGGCAGCTGGATGGGATCACATTAAATTTTGATTAAGGAAAAGGTTAATTATTTGACCTATAACCTGAGTTTCTAAGATGTCTATCTCAAGGCAGAAGAAGAAAAGATGAATGAAGGAAAGATAGAATGAAGGATGGAGGGAGGCTGGAAGGAAGGGAGGAAGGAAAGAAGGAAAAAACTCCATCTTTGTTAGGCCACAGAGTTTACAGGTTTCCATTGTAACCACTGAAAAAATTAGCCAAGACAGTGTTTTCCAGATTGAAGTTCAGCAGAGCCATTGTCTTTGCATCCAGAGCTATTTTTGAGGCTGCTACTGCTGCCACCTGTTGTCATTGTAATCATCTCCTCCTTGTTATTACTGGGATTACTATTATTAGTTGGATTGCCAGTCCAGATACATGCTAAGAGAATCAAGTAATCAAAAAATTTGTTTGAGTGTACATTGTGAAACATGCGTTTGGAATGATTCCCTGAGAAAGCTGGGTGCAGAATGCAAATATTTTGAATGGACTTATCTTAGAGTTGTACTGCTTTTTTTCCTTGTCATTTTAAAACCCTTATTATGAATAAATTGTTTGTATAGTGGATTTTTTTTAATTCTTAGATAAGAAATACATGGTTGAAAGCAGAGCATAAAAACATGAATGATAATGTCCTCGATGCCCAGGAGAAAGTCCTTGCTGCTGCTCCTGGACAGGCATTATAATTGGCTATTTGGTGTGTTTATTTCGGGCTGCAGATAGCAGATAAAAGTGGCTGGTTTGTTGCCAGCACATGACTTAGTTGCCAAATGGAGTGTTTAGTACTTGTTACATTTGACTTATATCACAACTTTTTCCCATTAACAGTCTGCTGGTGATAACCTACTTGGCTTTTCATGTGGTTACTTTGAAACAGCCACTTGACAACATTTGGCATATCACAAACTTTAATACTGAAATAAAGAAGTGAGTGAATGACGACATGGGATCTGCCATATACTGATATGGTGCTTGGTGCAGAATGGGCTCCCCATAAATGTCTGTTTAATCAATGAATTAATCTTGCATAATATTTCTCTGGTTCAGTGTACCAAGGTTAGGTCTATCGATTTGAGACTTAAAAGGCTTGTAAAAGGGATAACAATAGATAGAAATAATAGTGCTTACACATATGTCAGAAGGTGTTGCCTTTGTATGGAGGGAGATACTCTGCTCCTCTCTTTCACCATTTAAATACAGAGTTGAACTACATGAAGAAATGAAGCTTTCATCAAAATGGCCTTGAGTCTAAGTCAAAGTGTAACCTCTTAATACTGACAATTTCAGGTTCTTTTTGTTTTGTTTTGTTTTTTTAACAGATCCACTTCAGGAATTTTGGCCCAGGATATGTAATCAAATATGCATTAAAGTGTTTATTTTTATTTTTAGATTGAAAACTTGCAAGAACAACTTAGGGATAAAGACAAGCAACTGACCAACCTGAAAGACAGAGTGAAGTCCTTGCAAACAGATTCCAGTAATACAGACACTGCACTGGCAACACTAGAGGAAGCTCTGTCAGAGAAGGTGAGTGTACACTCAAAAGCAGGGAATCAAGACATGGGGAAACATTGTTGGGGGAAGTTGATCCAAATGCATTGAAATATGCCTGATTTTCTTCTTTTTCTAACACTACCTTTTGTCCCTGGTGCTTGTTCTCCCCATCCAAGCCCTCTTCAGTGGACTTGGTACACGGTAGCCAGGGGGCATTTTCTGAAATGCAAATCTGATTACATCACCTTTGGCTCTCCGTAAAAACCTTCACTAGCTTGCCATTGCACTTAGGATGACACAAATTGAAATCTTCTACCTGGCCCCCAGGGTCCCTTCTCCTATCCGATCTGGCAAGCCCCCACTCTGTGTGCCTGCTCCCTTCCTTATTCTTTCTTTCATTTCCAGCCTCATCCCCCATCTCTCTTTTTCCAGGTTCTCTGTGCCTTAGCCATGAGGGGCTTCTAGATTTTCAAGCGTACTGTACTCCTTCTTGCCTCAGAGTCTTTGCAGATGCTATTCCCCAACTGAGAATATTCCTTACTCCCTGCAAATTTAATTTCTCTTCTGAGAGATCAGCTTCATGAGAAGTTGTATTGCGTGGTAGTCAAGAATATAGACTTTGCCAGACTGCCTGGGTTCAAATTCTAGGTCTGATATTTTCTACTTTGGACAAATTACTTAACCTCTCAGATTCTTCATTTGTAAAAGGGGATAATAATAGTACTAACCTCAGTGGATTATGTTGAGGAGAAAATGCGTGAAAATAAGGAATGTGTTTAGAATAGTAGATATAATGTTATCACTATTATTATTATTGTTATTTTATCATTTCCTTAGGGACACCTCCTAGGTATCCCCATTATGTCTCAGGAACACCATAACTCCCCAGAGTCCATGTCACTTTTTTTTATTATTGCACTTTATGTTCTGGGATACATGTACAGATCGTGCAGGTTTGTTGCATAGGTATACATGTGCCATGGTGGTTTGCTGCATCCATCCCCCCATCATCTACATTTGATATTTCTCCTAATGTTATCCCTCCCCAATCCTCCCACCACCTGCTATCCCTCCCGTAGCCACCCATCCCACTAATTGTTCATTCATCTGTTTTTATGTGGTTAATTTCTTTTCTCTGCTAGACGTCAAACCCAAGACACATATCCTATGTGTGAATTACCTTGCCGTTCTGTGTCTAGTATAACCTGCATTGGGGATGCTTGATATTGGACACTGGTTGAGTGAGCCCCCATCATGTGACATGCCCTCTTTTGAGCCCTGGAATGCAGCAGAGAAGAAAATGGGTGAAAATCCTGGCTTTACCAGAGTTTAGACTCTAATGGAGGTGGTGGGGAGACAGTTAATAAATAAGTGACATACCTAGGATTTTACAGGGTAATATTTTCTATCAAAGAAAAGAAGGCACGGAGGGGTAAAGGGAGTGCCGGAGTAGAATGACCAGGTAGAAGCTTGCTGAGAAGGTAACATTCAAGGAAACACCTGAAGAAAGTGAGTAGTGAGTCAGAGCCCTTCTGGAGGGAGAACACCCTGGCAGAGGGGAGGACAAATACAAAGGGGTGGGGGAGAGGAAGGGGGACAGATTTCACAGGCCCTCGTGAGACAAAATTTTTAAAAATCGGCTTTTACTTTGAAGAGGATAGGATGCCATCCTGAAGGTTTCTTTCTGACGTATATTAAAAAGGATTAATTTAAATAAAAGAATGAATTAATTAATAAAATCCAGTAGGCAAATAGCTCATTCTGATGTTTACTTACTTTTAAAATGATTTCTAGTCCATTTCACCCTGGCTAAATGAGTTTATTCATTCTCTGGGGACCTATCCTAAGTATCATACCCTGGAGTTGAGCTTGCATATGCTCTATCCTCTCCTCCAACACTTTCTGAGTGTCAAAGAGCCAGTGTCCACAAGCAGTAGAAGTAAAGTTCTCCAGGAATTCTCAGGAGGGTTGGCTTGTTTGTTGGTTGGACATGGAATGTACTGGTGCAGTTTTTAGGCCTATGCTCTTGACATTATTTTCAAATTTAGCTTGAAACCAAGAAAAGAAATGTTAACTTTTAAAGTGTGGGAGTAGACTCTATTATGTTCTTTTTCTTCATCTTTCTCATCATTTTTGATGCTGCAGCACTTTGCTGGATTTGGCCGTACATGCATGGGATGTTGCAGGGAGTTTACTCCGGGATACCCTACTAAAGTTATAGCATTATCTCCTATATTCCCTGTTATCAAAGCCTATAAACTCTGAGGTAATGAAGTAATTGGAAGGAGACCTACAGGCAGTCCCACCTATGCCACTAATTAACTGGGGAGACATTAAATAACTGGGTGAGCCTGGCAAGTAATTCTCTCTCTTGGCATCTCAAATTTCCCATTTGATGAATGGGAGAATTAGATTAAATGCCCATGGGTTTCCTAAACCAGTGTATCCTAAAGAAGGCTTCTCTTCTGTTACTTCAGAACTACCAGGAAGTTCCGGTTGAAAATCTATATTGTTAGGTCCCATCTATACCTACTAAATCAGAACCTCATAGGGCCTGGGAATCTGCACTTTAGCAAGTTCCCCAAGTCATTGTGATGTAAACTCTAGTCTGAAAACCAAGGCTGTATGATAAAGACATAGAAGCTACAAAAACATGGGTAAGCATATTTGTGGAGTTAATTTTAATAAATTAAAAAGTTATTGAACAAAAGGAAGCTACATAAAGAACCATGATTCTAGGGCTAGTCTTCATGGTCCTATTAAAAATTGTAAGATTTAAATGTAAAACCCACAACTATAAAAACTCTAGAAGAAAATCTAGGCAACACCCTTAAGGACATAGGCACGGGCAAAGATTTCATGATGAAAATGTCAAAAGCAATTGCAACAAAAGCAAAACTTTACAAATAGGATCTAATTAAACTAAAGAGCTTCTGCACAGCAAAATAAACTATCATCAGAGTGAACAGACAACCAACCTACAGAATGGGAGAAAAATTTTTGCAATCTATCCATCTGACAAAGGTCTAATATCCAGAATTTAAAGGAAACTTAAACAAGTTTACAAGAAACAAACAACTCCATCAAAAAACAGGCAAAGAATATGAACAGATACTTCTCAAAAGAACACATTTATGAAGCCAACAAACATATGAAAAAGAACTCAACATCACTGATCATTAGAGAAATGCAAATCAAAACCACAGTGAGATACCATCTCATGCTGATCAGAATGGCGATTATTAAAAAGTCAATAAACAACAGATGCTGGTGAGCTGTGGAGAAAAAGGAATGCATTTCCACTATTGGTGGGAATGTAAATTAGTTCAACCATTGTGGAAAGACAGTGTGGCAATTTCTCAAAGACCTAGAACCAGAAATAACATTTGACCCAGTAATCCCATTACTGGGTATATAACCAAATGAATATAAATTATTCTGTTATAAAGATACATGCATGCATATGTTCATTGCAGTACTAGTTGCAATAGCAAAGACATGGAAGCAACCCAATGGCCCATCAATGATAGACTAGGTAAAGAGAATGTGGTACATATATACCATGGAATTCTATGCAGCCACAAAAAGGAATGAGATCATGTTGTTTGCAGGGACATGGATGAAGCTGGAAGCCATTAACCTCAGAAAACTAATGTAGGAACAGGAAACCAAATACCACATGTTCTCACTTATAAGTGGGAGCTGAACAGTGCATGGACACAGGGAAGGGAACAACATGTACTGGTGGCTGTCAGGAGGGGAGGGGAGAGGGAGATCATTTGAAAAAATAGCTAATGCATGCTGGGCTTAATACCTAGGTGATAGGTGCAGCAAACCACCATAACACATGTTTACCTATGTAACAAACCTACATATCATGTGTATGTATCCCAGAAAGTAAATAAAATAAAATATAGCAAACAATTAAAATGAACCTTTTGTAAGGAAAAAAAAAGTATGTTTTGACATTGAGTTACCTTATTTGACATCATATGTAGCATCTATTTCCAAATTAATTTTGCTTGTAAATCCATGGAAGAGAAACAGTTGCTGGTTAATAAAGTTATAAATCCTATAATAATTTTAAAAAATGAAAGATAACTTCAGAATTAAATTATAAGAATTATAAGATTTTACTTGAAAACTTATAAGAATATTTAATAAGATGATTTTTGGGGGAAATGTACCCTCTTTTCAACTTTCAATAATTTATTTCCAGGGCTCTTTGTCGTAATTTTATTTGTGAAATTAGAAGGAGGGGATGTTCAAAAACTGTTTATGCTTATGTGTTCATTTAGCATATTTGGGTTTTATGTTATCAGCCCATGTTTACCTTTTGATTTCTTTCTTAAAATTCACAGAAGTAAACACATACCATATAATTTTTCATGTCATGAATTCTCGGCAGGATATTATTATTTTTTTATGGACCCTATTAAGATTTGATTTATTCTAGCTTAAATCCCAAAATAATTCCCAAATCTGAAACTACTCCCTTTATTTGAGTACTTCCTTTGAGGCTCAGGGGGTATCTGGGAAGGGAAGCTGAGGTCTGTGGGAGTCTGGCCGCCTTGGACTGTCTTAACTGCTTGATAGTTGCATCACTTGGGCAAGGCTCTTCTCTCAGGGACTCAATACCTCATCTTCAAAATGCACATTTATATTAGCTGACCTCTAAGTTTCATGCTGTCCTAAACTCTCTTGACAAAGAATTATTCAGTTTGCCAGTCTGCAGTCTCAGGCTTATGGCATCTGAATTGGACATTAGATGAGGAATTGAGAACTTAGATGACTAGAAGGGCCAGGCAGGGAATGGAAATGAGGGATGAGGCTTTGCTGAAATGTAGTAGGGACTATTGGTGACTATGGTCAGCTGCAGGGCCTTGGTCTGTTTCAAAACATTCAAGTTCAGATTTTTAAAACTTATGATGCTCAAGTCAGACAAAAGAGCTCTATTCACCAGCTTCGTGAGCTATTTATTTCAAACTCTGTTTGCATCTCATTTTTAACTTTTTATAGCAATGAAGAATAAAAGGAAACATAGAGCAATTGATTTGGTGGGAATCTTTTAAAGGTGCCAAAATTAGAATGCTAGTCTCTTTGAAAAGCACAGATAAAACAGTTGATAGGAACTGGCAAGGTTCTCTATGATAGAACAAAGAATAGAAGATTTATTTTAAGTATTCCAGTATGTATCAAACCTTTGAGTGTATCCAAATAATATTATCTAGTAAGCTACTTAAAATACAGTTTCCTGGGCCCTATTTCTTAGAGATTCTGATTCAGCTGTTCTGCTGTGGAGCGCAGGAACCTAAGATGTTTAAACATACTGAAGGCTTCTGATCCAAGTGGTCAGAAGGCCACAATTTGAGAAACACTGAATGTATGCTCTTCCATTTTAAGATGGGAAATGTGTTCTATGAGAAAAATAACTTGTCCAGAAATAAAAATGTTGACATATACAGCATCATTCCCTATTTCTGGGCCTCGAGAGCCATTGCTAATTAATCATGGCACATGCTAACTTCTCAACCCACTACTCCTGAAAGCCATTTTCACCCTGTCTAAGCTGGTCCTTGGTTGAGACTTTGCTGCCTCCTCTGGACTATCTCAAGGCCACCTAGCTCACAGGTGATAAAATAAGACTAAAACTCTTTTGAGGTCTTTTTGATGTTGGCAACATCACAGTCTCTTTTAAATGGAATTTTCCTCACAGATTTACTTTTTATCCACATTTAATTGCACAGATTCCCCCTGTAACAGGGCATGCTGTGAAACAACAAAATGATTAATAAAACTTCATGGATTTTTAATTACATTTAATTATTTGCTGTCTTTTGGCTGATGAAAAGAATCCATCAGGCAGTATTCACCATTTCCCCTGGATTATGGCATCCTAGGGAGTATGTTATTCCTTTTAATTTCCAGGAACTTATTCAACTATTAAGAGTGCAAAGAATAATGCCTCTCCGTGAGTTAAGATTGAATATTCTAGGATTGACACACAGAAGCTCAAGAGACGGAACCCACTGTATTTATAAAGCTGGTCTTGCCAAGCCTTGCTGTAGCCACATAGCTGATAAGTAGTTGAGAAAGCCAGATAGCGGAGCTGGAGGCCACTGCAATTTAGTTCCCACCCTGTGATAAAGCACAAATAGATTAGACCTGTGCAGAGCCAGATGAGTGCATAAGGAATGCTTGCCAATGCAAATAAGACTAAAACAAGAACACATTGTTGGAATTTCTGCAAGTTGGTTGTTAATCAAGTAGATCATGGCATATTAGGGGCTTTTAACACATGTTTTTGACATCTGGCCCTGCGCGGCTGACAGTTAAATTAGTTTTGTGATTGACAGAGAAATATTTTGTAGTATTGAATCATCAATAACACTTAAAAACATTATAGTGCTTGTTGATTTTTTTTGTCATCAATGCCCAGTCAATAGTACAAGCGCTTAGAGCAAATCGACCTGCTTTCCAAAGGATTCTGACACCTTCTGGCTGTTAACATGCCTGCTTAATTTTACTACCTTTTCTTTGAAGCCAAGATGATCCCTAATTTGAGTTCTCCTTCCTTCCTTCAGCTCTTTTAATTACTTGTTGTATGCTGGATGATTTGCCCAGCTGTGGGTCAAAAAGATGCATAGGTTTTTAGTGCTGCCCTCTGGAAAGCGGGGCCAGGAGGATGATTATGCAGTGAATCCATGTGAAGTCTGCTGAGTGGGAATAAATGACACGTGATCCAGCCAGAGGGTTTCCTGGGAAGGTTTCCAAATAGTGAGATGACAGGTCATTTTGGAGCTTTAGAAATGTCACTCCAACAGCCATGTAGTGGAAGTGATGGGACTGAGAGGTGGCCTGGTAATCACTTGTAGAGTAGGGAAAAGGCAACAAGGGCTTAATTGCTGAAATCATTAAAAACCCTTGAGAGATTGAGCATGTACTGTGGTCATTTCCTTCTCTTGTAGATCACATAATCATCTATTCACCATTGTCACAGTTAGGTAAACTAGGTCTAGGATCAAGAAGAAACAAATATAGGCAATTAACAGATCCATTTGTTATATTTCTGCCTCCACTGTTATGATAGTATATTTCATTTAAAGTGTTTTTAAATAATTGGAAAACAGTAATGATATGCTCCCCACCCCCGCCAAAAAGCATTAGATACATAAATTTATTGTCAGTGGGGTAGAATGGTTGCTTCCTCAGGGGATCTGAAGTCACAGCGTGTATTCAGACTAACTTCCCTATGCCTTAAATACTATTTTACAGTTGTCTTATTTATCAGGCATTATTTCGTACTCTGCAGTCATAAGACTATAAAATATAGTATCAGGATCCTTGGGCACAGTTGTTGCACCAGTGTTTTTTAACATGGCCATCTGAAAGGAAGTTCAGATATGTGTTGGATAATTTCAAACTAATTTCAGAAATCTAACTCAAGCTTTATGCAGATGGAATTTTCCTGTGTGTGTGTGTGTGTGTGTGTGCGTGCGCGCGCGCGCACACGCGCGCACACGCATGTGTGTGTGAAAGTATCTTACTTTGATATCAGGCAGGTTCTCTATTTTTGGAAAACATGTCTAGAAAGCAGTGTTTTCATTTCAGTGTGAAAATCAAAGGCAGATCTCCTCGAATGGCTTCAGGTATATGTTTATGGCAGTGTGATCTCTGACAGGTGGCTGACTGTCAGAGAACCTGGGATGTGGGAAGCCTTCTGTTTATGACCTGGGCCACCTTGCATCTTGGAGCTCTGGTTTCCTCACCTCTACATTGTCATCAAGAGAACTGGTTCTGCCCTCGCGCTTGTGATGAGTACTTAAGAGGAGAGCACATCACAGCACCTTTGCATGTAGTAAGCCCTCAGTAAAAAAAAGCTGCTGCTGAACTTTGTTCACACTCACCCAGTGTTTTGGAGTCTCTACTGACTTTCAAGAAACCTTTGAAAAAACAGAAAAGTCAACATCCTCCGACACACTGAAAAATCACATACACAATGGGCTGATCCTTTATTTTGTCTCAAGCCCTCACAATGAGTCCCGCTCTAAGACCTGGAGGGTTTGGGTCCTGCCCCACTTCAATCCGATCTAGCCAGAGAACAGCCTTCGGAAACCAGTGAAGGCTCTTTGTTGCCAAATGGAGAGGCTAAGCAAAGAGGGCTAAGCCAAGAGGCATGTTCTGCTTCTTCCCTTTTCCTGTATGAGGCTATGGCAGGTCTGGAGTCTCGGTGTCTGAAGCTCCCTCTTCTAGAACTGCTCTAGAAATTTGCTGGATACTACCATGAACCAAGAGCAGCCATAGAACTTGAACATTAAGATCCTTTGCAACCCTCTGATGTTAACTTTTATTAGCAAGTCAGAAGCTATATTCGTTGTTTTTCCCATGTGCTGTTATGCACAGCCTCTCCCCACGCATCCAATTTTGAGTTTCTTGTGTGCGTTGATTCCCATAGAGCATTCCTTAGATGAACTGCCTCTTATTTTCTTTTGCAGTATGTTTTGGCATATATACTGATGGGTTCTTACCTCTTCTTTATTGTTAATTGCCTTTCAGGAGAGAATAATTGAGCGCTTGAAAGAACAGCGGGAAAGAGATGATCGGGAAAGACTAGAAGAAATAGAATCCTTCCGAAAAGAGAACAAAGACCTGAAAGAGAAGGTCAATGCTTTACAAGCTGAACTGACTGAAAAAGAGGTGAGTCTGGAGAAACAAATGAACCTCACTGATAGTCCTCATAAACTCATATTCAGTGTAGCCGCAGGAGACTAGAGACTTATTTGGAGGCACTGTATGAAGGCTTGGGGAATGTGGTAAGCTTTCTTTTGTAAAGATGCCTGAATTTAAAGGAAAAAAAAATTTTTTGTAACTTCCTTCTTCTGTAATGCTCCATGTCTATCTTCTCTGTTTTGCTAACCATATACAATGTAGCTCCTTGAAACTTTTCTTTATGTCTTACTATATTTGCATGGATTAGAGGATTCTATATTTTTTGCAGTCCCATGATCCTTTGCTTGAGATAGCAGCAGCATTGATGATGATAATAATAACTCTATTGATATCTGCTATGTACTGTTCCTTGTGTTGAGTGCTTTACATTCATCTGTAATACCCTCAGGTTAGGAGATGTGGTACCATGCTGGGCCCCAAGGTGGAGCTTAAATGTGGCTGTTCTTCTGGCCTATTATTTTTACATTATAGTAAATAATTTAGAGCTGTGCTTTTATACCATAGAAAACATGAATACAAAGTATAAATGCCACCCGTGTTTTTAAAGTAAAATTTTATACTTTAAAGAAATTCTTGCTTGGGGATTATGAAGAGGATGCCTTTGGGCTATTCTGCCATTCTTCAAGGGATCCCTATAACCCTCTCAGTTTTCTTGGGGATAGTTTGGTGGAGAAGCATGAGAAACAGTAATTACACATGATTTTATTTAATCCACATAACTCTGAGATATGTGGAGATTGACTGCAATTGGCCCATTCACACTTACTTTGTCTGCTGTAACTGTCCATCTTCTTTAGAGCTGACTTAGACCTTTCACCCTCCTGGATGGTACCACAGCACAGTTGTCTGTCTCCTAGCTCCACAGTATTTCCTCACTCTCAGGGTACTGATAATTCCACCCAAATTAAAATCCCAAATAAATTAGGAATCTAGATGAAGAAGGAAAAGAATCGATGAGTAAGGAGTTTCGAGGAAACCCAGAAACAAAATCCATACATATTTCTTAAAATTTAAATCTACTTTTTTTTTTTTTTTTTTTTTTTTTTTAGAAAGGAGCATATTTTTTTGTTATGAACATAAAGAATGACGTTTTCTTCCTACTCTTCCACTGCTGATTCTGAGTTGGAGGATCTGTGATGACTATAGTTTGTATTGGCAGAAAACATGGAAGCTTTGACTTTGTAGCATTCTTCACTGGTTGGAAGTGTTACTTGTCAGTTTTTATCTTAAAATCAATGTATATATTTCGAATGAAAAGAGATCTTGATGATGTGGTGGAGTATAAGCTATAAATGAAAGTAGTTTTGTAAATAATCCCAAAATTGTGTGACTTTCAAATAGGCATTTTGGTAAACATTTATTGTTTCTGCATAATGTGCTTGACACTGGGCTGGTTGTGTCAGTCAGGGTTCTGCCAGAAAAACAGAACCACGTTAAACATTTTCAACAGATTAAGAACCTTATCATAAGGGATTGGCTTACACGGTTATGGAGGCTAGGCAAGTTCAAAATTCACAGGACGGGTCATCAGCAAAAGCGGACTGGAAAGTCTCAGACAGAAGCTGACACTGCAGCCAATAGGTGGAATTTGTTCTTCCTCAGGGAAACCTGAGTTCTGCTCCTAGGCCTTTCAACTGATGGGATCAGGCCCACCCAGAGTACTGAGGGTAATCTCCTTCACTTAAAGTCAACTAATGGTAGATGTTACTCATGTCTACAAAATGCCTTCTATTAGCAACTTCTAAACTAACAATTGGGGACTGGAGCCTAGTCAAGTTGACTAAAACTGGCTATTGTATCTGGCAGTTTAAAATTTATAAAGAAAAAATCTGCAGTTGCCATCAGCTTATAATTTAATTGGGAGCTTATAATTTAATTGGAGTGATGATATATCTTCACCATGACAAAATGACTGAATTATGTCCTTTGTTATTTCTGTGGGAATGATATGACAAAGGACATTGAAATTGGAATTGTAGACCTGGGTTTGAGACCTGTATCTGCCTTTACCAGCTAAGTGACCTTTGACAAGATGTTCAGCTGTTGTGAGCCTCAGTTCCCTGATGTGAAAAATGAAAATGGGTCACCTGTTCCTCAGGGGGTTTTAGAAGCACCTTGCTGGATAATGGTGACTTTTATCATCAAGATCATTCCAGTGCCCATAAAGCAATCCAGGATAAATTATTAGGTAGCATTGTTTACAGAGAGACCAGTGTGTGTTTAGTGTCTTCCTAGGCGATGCAAATGAGTAAGAAGGAAATACATGGAGTCTGTTTTGGGTTAAGCCTTGTACATCTCAGTCACATAGTTCAATATTGCTATTTCATAGTTGATGACAAACATTTCTCTTTTAGGTTGCAAAGTTATGTTCAGTGATATATGCAAGTATTTCTTTAGTTTTTTGAATTCAGAGTATATGTGGAACCTGTTAATTTCTGGACGTGATTAATGACTGGAACAATTTAGGCAACCCTATGTCTGAGTTGGAAAGATTCATTGTATCTGTCAAATCTGGATTGCAAAGGATAGGACTATAAAGTTGACTCTAAATTTTAAAATAATTTTATGTTTGATTTTTCTGGAAGATGTTTGAAAAACCATTGATCATTTCTCTGTTAGAGAAATGCGATTTGATAAAAATGTAATAGGAGGCTTTTTTTATATTTCACTTGCTATTGGGAGGGGAAACATTAAATTCAGTATTTCTTTCAGATTTGTCTCAGAGTCTGCATGGTCTGACAGCAATAAATGTAAATGGAAGGTTCAGGGTGTCTGTTTTGCTATGACATGTAAAGACCACCTTGGGACTTACATCATTAGCATGACTTTGAGACATGAAACATGCATTTACTGACCACAACCACATTTGATTCTATGGCAATTAGATCCTGCTCATTCTGTAAGCTGGCCAACTTTAATTTCCTGGCCAGAGCTGACTATTGTTACCTTAGTAAGATTATATTTACCCTTTCTGTCTACTGCATGTTTTATTGTTATGTATAGAAACAGTGTGTTCAAATTGAAGGCATTGCTAGTAAAAATTTGAATGTTTTACTGACTCAAAATCTTTTTCTTTCAGTCTAGTTTAATTGACCTCAAAGAACATGCATCTTCATTAGCCTCTGCAGGACTGAAAAGGGATTCCAAATTAAAATCTCTAGAAATAGCCATTGAACAAAAGAAAGAGGAATGTAGCAAATTGGAAGCACAGTTAAAAAAGGTAAGTGAAGTCTAAGAAAAAAATCATGCTCGTTTTAAAATGAATTTATAAAACGGAAAAGGAAGAGGCATTTTTAAAAAGAAACAAATCCCTTATCTGTTGCTGTCTGCTGATAAAAGAATTAATTAAATACTCTTAACTGTATTGCTAAGAAGTCTATCAAATCTGTCTGTGAACCTGAAAAATTATCTTAGGCTTCCTGTTTAAGAAAAACTTGAAAAGTAGATGAAAATAGTAGCAGCAGTTTAAAATATTATAAAAACCAGCCATTACTCTCTGGGCAAATCTCAGTTATCAAAAAAGAAAAATAGAACTATTTTTAACAAATCACAGAATCCAGAACCCACATTAGATGTTAATAAACTTTTGCTACTTTCAGATGTAGGTCTTTTTGTAACTTTGCAAAAGTTTTTCTGACATTGTTAAATTTCTAGAAGTTCACCAAAATAGTCAAGTCCCTGGCATCTCTATAGAATGACTATTTATAATTGACCAAAATGGCCTTATTGTCTAAGAAAGCTTGTTGTAGATAGAAGGCTTTGGAAAAGAAATAGGATATATGCATGGCAGCATTAACATGTTTTCTCTGACCAGGACATTTTTGTGGAGTGCATTTCCAGTCATGCATTGTTCCTTTGACTTTCTTCCTGTGTTGTTTGGTACGTCTGCACTCATTGTTCACATAAAACTCATAACATTATGAGTTTAAGCATTTTGTTTCCCTTTGACAACTCATAAACTTATTCAAAAGAGAAGAATCTAAACAATCAAACAAAGCAAATAATAAAATGTGGCTATGTAGAATTCATAGCACACCGGGATAGGGATTTATTGGCTAAAGTTATGAAAATATATGACATGGATGGTCAAGGATGTGAAGGAATCACATATCTGTGAAGGAATTACTCTGGATATCTTAAAATTTAAGATACCATTTTGTGTGATGCAATATATAACTGAAATTTTACTATATGGTGCTCACTTTACAGAGATTTTTAAGGAAATTATCATGAGAAATTTCACACTCAGAATGTCTACTTGCTGATACAGAAAAAGATAAATACACAAATCCTTTAATAACAAAACAGCAAGAAAATCTCTAGATTGCAAAATCTGTTTCCCAATCTGCTCATCATCTCACTTATTTCAAGCAATATTTAGTTAAGCAGAAATCTTGAACAATAAATAAAAGAATTAAAATTGCCCATTTGAGGGTGTTTAAATGGATATTGACTTGGCTATCATGTATTGGGTATATGACATACATTCTTGATGTATATAAATGTGATCTACAAAATGTTATCTATGATATGCACATTAAGAGATGAAGTTATGAAAAATATGTTTTATTTAATAAAGTTTTGTGATTATAAGGCAGGCTCTAAGCTAGCTTTGTGAAAGAGAAATTCACTGGCTCCTTATGACCATCCTCTACACTGTTTTACCTTAGTCACAGTGTGCTGAGTCCAGAAGAAAGATGGCTTCTAATAGACCTGGGCATGAAAGATGCCCCCCATCCACTCTGATGAGCTGTTGTTTATAGAAATCAGGGGACCCCATTTATTATTTCTGCAGATACATGCTCAACACCCTCTTTTTAAATGTAAGTCATCTATAGGAATTTGAAATCTAGTAATTAAAAGGAAGAGATTCACATATTGATGCTTATAGTTTTAATGTAACGACTTGACTAGTTTAATAAATCAACATTTATGCAATTCAATATAGTTTCTTTCAACATAGCTGTGGTTTGTCCCTGAGATCACTCAGAGTGTGTGGTTTCCTTTGACTCGCAGGTAGATACCACATACGGAAATTCACAGACCAAATCCTGTAAACATTTTAGCATTATTCCTGACAGCATTTTAACATTCCACCAAGTCACTAGAATTAAAGTAACAAATATGGTTGTCTTGCTGTATATGACCTATTTAATTTATCAAAAGAGAACTTATTTCTAAGTGTATACGTAATCTTTGCTTATACCCTATCTTCTACATGCATAGTGCAGTGGGTTTAAATAGGGTAATTATAATTTAAATATTTTTATGTCTAACCTACAGATGCTGTTTTGTTATTTTTGGCTGTCTAGCATTAACTAAATTCAAAAGTTTAAAATATTTTTTCAGTAGTCTTTAATTTCTGCTAATAAATAGTTCCATAAAAACCTCAAATACCCATCACCTTAAAAAATTGAGATCTACATGAAATATTTGAAAATATAAGCCAACAGTATGTGAATATACATATAAACACATCATTTACTCATGGAAAAATAAGCAGCTATAAAAGCTTAAGTGTGTCTGGGCCTCCTTTTAAATAAAAGGGTACGTGACTTGTGAATAAAATATAAAGGTTTACTAAATGAAAGCTGAAAACATAATAGTTTTATTATGTCATAAATACACCAAAAATTCCCAGTGGAATTTTGCTCGAGGTTTGTGAGTATCCAGGTATTTTTGTCATAAAATCTATACAACATTGTAGATATGTGTAGTTGAACAGAAACCTTGTCTGCCAGTGGCAATGAAATCCAAACGGTGATTTAAACTTATTTTTGTCTTATAAACAATGCTTCACATTGGTAAAGGGAGTTTTTACATAAAAGTCTGTGGAGAACATTCACACACATAATTACTTTAACCCTTTATTATACTGTGTTAATTTAAGATGTCTTCAATACTTTGTGATGAAAGGTTATAGGCAGAAAAGGAACCAACTCCCTTACACATTCCATCTCACATTTTATAAGTGTTCATATGTGAGGAAATTTTTACTGGTATTAGTGAAGCTAATGAAATGATAGTAACCAAATAATGTGTAATTGCAAATTATGAATGTGCTTTATAATTAAGTGTATTTTGAGAAGAAACTGATAATCGACATAGATCATTTTGCCTTTCAATAGAGTATTTGAAGTTCAAAATGGGGGAGTAAATTTACCTATGTGACTAGAAATCAATTGAGAAGCAATAACAATTAAAAATATTATCTACACTCTTTAGTAATTTTTCAATTATATTATACTTCAGGAGGGAGTTTCTTTAAACCATGATAAATAACATTGTCATTTACTTCATCCAAGTTGAAGGAAAAAGTAATTCAGGCTCCTAAAAATTGTGTCTTAGCTTAAAGCAAAGTAATAGTTTCTACAATATTGCACACCTTGATGTTGAGCCCCAGATTAATAGTGCAGGTATTTAGAAAATATAACTTGAGGATGCTATTTACAATAATATTCAGTACATTTAAATCTACAAACATTTAAATATTTAACACAAAATAGACGAGAACATTATAGATTCTAAAGCACTTGAAACATAATAGAATATCCTTGAAAATTATATTTTCTACTAATTCTGAGACAACAGTAGAAACTGGTAATAGGCAATGGAGAACACTTTATTTTGGTCCTGCTGGTTAAATTTTTTTCTTTTCCCGTTTAGTTTAAGTAAATCCGATAAAGCCTTAACTACTGATATTTTGCTATTGCTAACCTGCTGTTTGCTAATCTGTATTTTTCTGAAGATAGACTGAATAGAAAATTCAGACTTGTGTTAATATAAAAGAAGAACTATAAATTCAATGATAAGATTTAATTAATCTTTTATTATTACCATCTTTGAAGTTCAGGTAATAAATTGCAGGCTTGGCTAAAAGTACTTCTTCTGATTCATTGCTGGAGGCCTGCACTTCATGTATCATCAAAAGTGGACAGCTTTCTTTATTTCATGGGTTATTTAACTTGAGAAAGGGAAAGTAACACAAACCTTAAAATTCTTATTCCAGCTATTCTTTTTTAGGAGCCAAAGTCAACATTTGTATTTCCCTAGAGCATCTCACTTTCACTGTGGAATGTTTAGAAACTGAAATTTCTTCTTTTTTAACAACTAACTCGTCTGTGCGAATGCACTGGATTTGTTGAGCTAATGCTGTTTTTCTGGATCTTTCCTTCTTTCCCTGTCTGTGCCTCAATGCCTCCCCAACTTTGCAATGTAGCAAGCTGAGCAGTTGTTCAATCAGATGTACAACCCAGTAAGTCATTTGTGAAAGTTCCCGCTGTAACATATCAAAGCATGAGGATCCATTGATCACCAGTCACGGTGTGCCATACTGGGGAGGTTTCGAAAATATTTTTGAGTTTCTTCCCCTTTCCGTTCTGTCAAAAGAAATGATCTGTGCTGAGGCCACTGCCATTTCTTTTGAATGTGAAATTTAAAAATTAATAACTCAAGAAAATATTGCCAGTTCTGATACTACCTCCTTCTTAACCTCAGTCCTAAGATTGTAGAAAAACAAAAGTCAGCTGAAGATCTAGGCTTATGGAACTCTTCCTTAAATCCTTCAAACACAACTATATCTAGGCCAAAAGGGATAACAGCATTCGTAAAATAGCAAACAATTCAATGTCTGTTTTATTTAAGTGATAGAAGTTAAAACAGGTTTACATTTAAAAATAGGGATATGCTCTTTGAGATTGGTAAATACCTATCATTACTTTGGATTTTGTAAGAGTTAAAAACATGCCATTTGGCTGAGGACAAACCATAATATAGTCTCTTAATAACAGATAGTAACAATTCTGATTATAGCTTAATAGAGTACCAAAAAACAGGTAACTAGTAAAAATATTTGTAAAACTATCCAGGTGCCACCATGAGTTTTTTTATCCTAGTGATGTGTGCATTTATTAATATACGAAACAGGTTTCTTTTAACTTATTAAAGAAGAAAAGCTTTTTTGTTCTGTGAACTTAAGTGGCTTACTGGGAAAATATTTCATAAAGGTGGCTAGAGTTTATCATTTGGCAGATGTGATCTGTGCTATCATGCATTCTAATCACCTCCTATGTCTAAATCCCCTTATGGAAAAAATGAATAACATGGATAAAGGAAACAGTTCCACCAACAACTTTTTATTTGTTAAGCCACTGCTTCAGGATACATACAACTTGATCTGCAAGATGTAGTGCATTTAGACTCAGCCTCCACTCCCCATTCTTTACAACACGTTTTATTTTTGCAAAGAGAATTCCTAAAACCCTGCTGCAGCATCTTTGTTAACCTCTTTTTCAAAATGTGGATTTTAGCAGAGAAGCAAAAAATAATCAGTTCAAGTTTCTTTTCCCTTAACATTTAAATAGAAGTGCTAATAAGCAGGCTGAAGATAGTGGAGATGTGAAAAAAGACAAATAAGATTGGAATATCTTCAAGCTCAAAAACTCACCCTGGGAAAAATTAGCGTTTCAAAAAAGTTTAAAAATAATCAGTGAAGTAATTCCACTGCAATTGTTTTACACTTACTAGGAACAGGAAGTTAGGAACAGGAAGAAAACCTAAGAATTTTATGTTTTGGGTATGTGCAGGACAGATGGGGAGAGCTTTGTTCCTGCAGGAGCAAAAATGTATCAGGACCATGCTAGGAGTTCCGTATCCCTGTAAGGGTAGGTAGGACCAAAGAAATAACTCTGTTAGCTTTTAGACCATTTCTAGAAATATCAGTGACACGGCATCATCAACTTTTACTTCACTTCACCCAGTGGTGCGTCTCTAATATGCCAGTGTGAACTTTTAAGTCTTTTTGGTGACTAATTCAAATGCTATTGACTGACTTTTCTCCCCAAGTTAATTAATCTAACCCATTGGTTTGGTATCCCGGGAATATAGCCAAACTCTCATTATTTTAACTCCCTCTGTCTCAGTGTCCACTTCTTTTTTGGACTGATAGGGATGCAGCATGATGGATTTTTTTTACCCTTAATTGTCTTTTAAAAATGACTATGTTTTTCTTAGTTGTAAACATAATAAATGGTCGCAGTAGAGAATTTGCAAACATATGGAAGGCTACAGAGGAAAATTAAAAAATAACAGGACAACTCACCACAGACAGAAATAATCACTGGGACATTTGGATTGTTCTCCACCTAGACATCTTTTTGTTGTTGCTGTTCTTTTCTCTTTTTCTTTTCTTCTGTCCTCTCTCCTCTTGCCTTCCCCTTCTCTTTGTTGCTTCTTTTCTTCCCTCTTTTGTTCCTTTTTTCTTATCTAATACTCTACTTTTTACCAAATTGTGTCAAAGTGTTTAGTTTTATATTCTATTTTTTTACCTTATTAGAATTTTCCTATATAATGAACTATTCCTCCAAAATACTATTTTAATGGTTGTAAACTATTCTACTCTGTTTGCTTATTCTCCCAATGTTGGTGTTTCTTAACTTAAAACTAGGTCTCACTATGTTGTCCAGGCTGGTCTCAAACTCCTGGTCTCAAGGGATTCTCCTGCCTCAGCCTCTGGAGTTGTTCAGCCTACAAACATATGCTACCATGCCTGCCTCCTTCCTGGGCCAGTGATTTGTAAAGATCCCAATAGTTCCTACTACGTTGTGTTTCGGAGGAATTCCACCAAAGCACGCTTCTTTTGGCACTGATTAAAGATGGCTTTTCTGCTGCACCCTGGCCAACACTGAGAATTGTCATTTTACATACAACTTTAACAAATGCTTAGGTGGAAATTTTTTTCCCTTTTAACTTTCTTTCTTTAATTACTACTGAAGTTGAGGTTTTTCAGTGCATTTATTAGCTTTTTATATATTTTCTTACATAAATTGTTTAAATCAGTTGAGCACTTGCTTTTGAGTTTACTGTTTTCTTCTTTGGTTTATATGAGTTATTCTGTGTTTTATATAGAATTTTTACCAGGTTTGTGGCAGTTTTATTTAGCTTAAATTTTTTTATGTATATAGAGAATAGTTTTTAGGGTTCTTGACCTGTACTTTTCTTTAGGCTTTCCTCACTACCTTTATTCTGGGAAATGTTCTCTGATTTCAATTAACTATATTTAAAATGTTTTAATGTTTTTTTTTTATATCAAGTTAAGCCCTTTATCCATCTTTAGTTTATTTTGATTCATGTTGAGAGGTGAGATTCTAACTATATTTTTCTAAATCATCAACTAATTATCCAGCACCATTTATCAAAGAATTCTGTCTTTATCCACTGATCTATACTATTTTATTGCATATGAAATTCTTATTTGGGTGAGTATCTTAGTTTCTAAGCATATGTTCAGCTTTATCAATGTCTCTAATTTGTTGGATCGAAATTTTAATTATTGTAGCTTTATGCTATTTTAAAATACCTAGTAAAATGAATTACACCTTCTTTCTGCTTTTCATTTTGTCTTGTTTTGTTTTAAATTTTTAGCCTTTAATTTTCCATCAGTCCAAGTACACTTTAGGATCACTTCGTCAATTAAAAAGCAAAATTATTGATTTTAATTTTAATTATATTTAATCTATAAGATAATTTTAGAATTATTGATATGTTCCCAATATTATTTCTTTCCATTCATGAACATGATCAAACTTTTATTTATTCCAGTGGTTTTTGTACAGCAAAGTTTTAAATTTTCCTGATACAGGCCATGGTATATTTTCTTAAAGATAGTCTTAAGTATCTCTATATATGTAATTTTTAGGTTGCTAGGGTGAATAATATATTTATTGTTTATTTTCTAATCAGTTAGTGATAGCTAAGAAATTTCTTTTATTCTTGTATGTTTATTTTCTATATGACCACCTAACAAATTTTTGGTGAACCATAATATAGTTGTTTTTTGTTAAATAAGATAATTTTATTTTCAATTTTATGTCTGACAGTCTACACTACATCCGAGGAAACAAGGATTAGGCTTTTAAGTGCTCCTGCAAGTATTTTTATTTCTAGAGTAGAAAGGAACTTTTTACTTTTTATCTCCTTTTACTTTAGTCACTCTGTTGAAAAAAGTGATGTCTAATGACATTTCTTAGAACCTAAAATTTTGCTGTCATATCATTATTTTTCTTATAACCATTCTGTAGCTTAACTACCATTCTACTCCTGGAGTTTTGTCTTATTATTATAAATACTGTGCAGGTTATCTTCAGTTGGGTCGTCTTTCTTCCCTTGGTTCTTAATTCTAAACAAATAATGTTATGTGTTTCATCAGTCTCAAATAACTTCTTTGCTATAGACCTTGTGGTTATTGTATGCAGGGATGGTATCAGGAGTCTTTCAAAAATTTTTAATAAATCTCTAGACCTTCTGGGTCTCTCAATTTAGTGCTTCATCTAATATCCTTGTAGCTACAAGACAAATGACTGATTTGGAGGCACTGGGTGCAATCTTGCTATTGGTCAGAGTACATTTGAGACCCCTCTGATGTTCCCCACACTTGTGACCCCTCAGTCCAGTAGTTATCCGTTTGAAATCCTATCTTTTCTGAACGCATATTTTGCAGGGCTCACATTTTACGTAAGTGTTTACAAAAAAACAGAACAAAAGCCAAAAGGCAGACATTTTTCATTCCAGAGAGAGAAAAAAATCTTGTTAATGTTCAGTGAGATCTTCCTGATTTGTAGGTCATAACAGGACTGGACAGTCCCAGGAACATAATGGGCTGCATTATAAATGCCTAAACAGTCATTGTTTGGATATAGCAGTTTCTTTTTATTATTTTTAAAACATATATCTGAAAAGTATTTGATTCACTCTTAAACCAGTATCTCCCATCACAGAGGAAAGTTACCACTATTTAAGAGATAATTCCAGGCATGCATATAGCATGTGTGAACACATGCACACATGCAAACACACACCCTATAATTGATTCAGGCTTTCAATGTCTAAAAAACTCAAGTATTATTTGCAATAACACTAAACATTTGAAGCTCCATGTTTTGTTTGAGGACAGCTAGAGAATTACCTCAGTTCTCTACATTGCTAATTTTAGGAAATCCCATAATTAAAAATGATTACATTAATAATTAAATTTTTGGTTTTGGGGATCTTTAAAAATATTAAGCATACAGTTGCTTCCTCTGTGTATATGAGAGAAAGAGAGAGAGAGAGACAGAGACAGAGACATAATAATTATTTTGAATACTTGTTTATATTTACTTATACATATCCTATTTGTTCCATCTATGAAAAGAATTTTTGTTTGGTATGGTTGTTTTAATATGTAAATTTGTAAATATTCTGAATGCAGTTAACTTG